TTTATCCATTGAATATCCCATCGTATGCACAGTAATCTAAAGGGGATTGTGACCAAGGACGTGCCCCCGTGGAAAAAAACATAAGTGGCGTGTATGGACAGAGATAGCCGGATTCGAACCCACGACCTCCGGACAGTTCTTTTGGGGATCCCAACCCCTCTGGCTACAAATACTGTCGCCCACTTTAATTATCTTTGGCGTTTTGTTCGCCAATACTCATTGATGCAGGTTTACTGACGACACAGATGCATAACCGACAAATATTTCAATCCATTTTGTGGCGAAGCTGTTCATGACAGTCACGGCTGAGTCATCATTTCCCCTCACGATTTACGTGACAAGCGAAAATCAGGATCGATTAAATTTCAATCTGTTGACTGTGTTATTCTGTTCACATTATTATTAAACTTTACCCATGTCATCCAATCGATTCATGGGATCCGATTCGCCCCTAATGACAATCTCCACGACTCGAGGACAGATCTTGACGTCCGATGAATCATTCGGTGGGACTTCCCTTCTCAACTGCCTGCTCTGTAATTAGTTGATCGAATCAATCCGAAAGTCAGGCTTCAATCCGTAACTGAAGGAATGCAATGTTGACCACATTACTTGTTTATCCATTGTACACGTTATTCCTATTGAATGAATTCCATTTATTCCGATTGAGACCTAGGTCTGAAGCAAATACGAAACCGTGTACACGCACATAACACCGTCAATCCCGTTTTACTCCAATGACTGACTGACTGTGGCACCAAATAAAAGACAGAATTTCACCCTTTGCCGTCGCATGCAGTTTGGGTGAATAAATGTGTGCTGAGTTAATTTGATCTAACCATCTTTCAGACAACGTCTTCACGCACAGCTCTCAGTTCACCCGGTGAATTGTACGCTATGGGGCAGCCCTGGACTCGAGTAAGTGCATATCCGCACACGCACCAGTACGGGATTAGAACTCCGGATCCCTCACATGGTTAGACGGGGCATTTGAATTCAGCCGTGTCAAAATCTCCCACATTATTTTTTCGCGATTTTACAGTGGAAAACTGCGTTCTATCCTCAACACATTTTATCAAATTAATTCGTNTTCGTTCAATTTTCAGGGTCAAACAAATACTGTCCTGCGGTCGCACATTTTTGATCTCCCACCGTTTTATCGCGTATGAACTCCAATTTTCACGTTTTGCGCACTGTGTGCGAAACCGCTACAACCGATTGAGGAAGAAGGGTCAAGGACAACAAAAATAAAACATCGCGCTGGTTGGAGGGTCGCTCTCAGGCGGTATTCCATCAACAAACTGACTGTACCTGTTATTACCGCCAGTAATATCTGTTCACTCCTAGGAAAAGTTCATGAAGTTAAGGGTATGTTGCACGGAAAAGTGTGCAAAAACGTTGGAATTATTATGCTCCAGGGAAGCTGGTTACATCCTGACATTGAGGACGGCATTGTACTGCTTGATGGATTTGATATCTTTCGAGATGATCGGATTGTGAACTTCAATAAAAGTAGTGGTGGAGTACTCACTTTCATCAACCGTATATGGTGTAACAGCTCTCATCTTTTGTTTCATTTTAATATCAGGAAAGTCAACTGTTTTGTCGTTCAACGTAAACCCCGTTTTCTTGGTAATTTTAATCATCTCCTGCTAGCATACATTTACATTGCCCCTGACACGCCCACTTCTGACATCCGAATGTTTTCCGACTCCTTCTCAACAAAATTCGTGACAGGCTTAGACCAGTCACTGTGTATTGTAACTAGTGATTTTAATCGTTTCGATATTTCTTTCTTAATAACTTTAGGTTTGGTTAATCTTGTGCACCTTCCCACTCGTTTGGAGGCCCAGCTTGATGGCATTTTGTAAATATCGCAGATGTCTTCTTTATAGAAAAACGAGCCCCTATTAGCACGTCCGACCACTGTACAATTCTTTTGCACCCAAAAATCTATGGTAAAGTGTTTCATCGTCAACAAGCAGAGGTAGCATCCCGAACAAAACGACGGAGGAATTCTACACATGATAACTTATCTCGACTCCAAGATGTGATCTCTTTAACCGATTTTTCTGTCTTCTCCAATTCAAATAATTCTCCCAGATGTGAACACCTCACCGGCTACCTAAGTTTCTGTTTTGATTTGTGTTACCCGATCGAGACGATATATATCCGTACCGACTGATTCTCATCGCCTCTCCTAAAAGGCCTTCGACGTAATAAGGAGAAGGCATATATGAATGTCAGGCGCTAAGATGGTAAATGACTCTCGATTATCATCAAGTCAGAGATTCAGCGCTTGAATCGGATGTATGTTGAAACCATCCTAGGCAACCAGAGCTGTCGCGAGATGTGGTCGGCGTTGAAGCAATTCTGTGGCACACGTGGGAGCTCCTGTTCTGACGTAGAAGAACTAAATCGACAATTTTCTGCCTCCTCTTGGTCCAATGCTCTACCGTCCGTTTTTAATTCTTCAGAAATCACCAACCCTGTTTCTCCGACCGAGGTTCCCAAAGTTTTAAAGCAACTTAAGTCAAACAAGGCCCACAGACCGGACTCATTAGCCCCTATTTTATTGAAAACCTGTGCCGGACACCTTGCAACACCCGTCGCTGAGTTGTTTAATTTGTGTATGTCCTCTGGAACAATCCCTGATTGCTGAAGGGCTGCCCGGATAAGACTCATTCCCAAGAAGGGTTCTTCAAAATATCGACCGATTGCATGTACCTCAACCTTGTTGAAGGTCTTTCAAAGAGTGCTGTTGGACCGTTTGACTACCCTCTCTCATGATNTCTTCGATTTGCTTATAAGAAATTCCTTTCGACTGTTGACGCTGTAGCGTATGTTGTCCATTCTGTGGCCTCAGTTCTTGATACAAATGTTGGAACTGTTCGCCTCATTTTTCTTAACTACGCCAACGCCTTTGGTTCGCTTGACCGTCGCATTCTCATTCAACGTCTTGCTGACTGCGCTTAGGATCCGACGTATTAAACGTTCTTGTCAACTACTTCTCTTCTAGGACACAATTTACCTCATGCAATGGTAAAGCGTCGTCCTCTTCTTCTGTTAACTCTGGTGTTTTCCAAGCCACCATTTTATCTCCCATCTTTTTTCTCCTGTACATAAACCACTGCCTGTCCCCACCAACTTTATTGCCTCTGTTAAATACCTCAGAGCCTTTTTTATCCCAGAACCTCTCTTGGACCTTACGTGTAGAGAACGTTTACAACAAGGTTCGTAAACTCTCTTTTTATGCTTTCAGGCTTAGGAAGCTTGCTGTTGCCCCAAACGTAATTTTAAAATTCGTGGTTGTATGCATCCTCCCTCATTGGATCTACTGTACCCCTGTATTTTTCTCAGCTTAAAATAAAAAGATTTCGTATTAATTTCCAGGTCTATTACACTCCTTTCTCCATGAAGCGGCATAGCCAGAGAAGTTCTGGTTGATTTTATTATGTGCAAACATATCGACGCATGTGAAAGAATAGCTGACCGAATCTTGAACAACGAAGATCACTGCTTGCACAAAGAACTTAATAAATCCATGTCAAACCCCCGTACCCGCTCTCATTATAGGCTGCTTCCCGCACGCACCGTAGTAAACAGAAACGGCATCCTCCCTTTTCTTGTCCGCTTTCTAGTAAATCGGGCACCTATTATTACAGGTTTGGTTGAACACCTCTTGAGTTAGTTGATTTATTCCCTTTTTTATCCGTCACTATCGTCTTCCTGCGTTCAGTTTTCTGTCGCTTTTTTATTTTTTAAATTAACCTATTCACACTCGGAGGCCATTCATCTCAGCTCCACTGTATTATCGTGAAAAAATCGCTGAAAATTCACCCTACGGGTGCATAAAGCTTACTTTGACTTGACTTGGATGGTGTATGTGTGTGTGTTCCCATCGTGTCAATCAGCTCACACCGCGGCTGACCAGAATTTCTGATTCATGTTGGTTCGTGTGTCGTCTTGAATGACAGACGGTCAGTTTAATTCACTTTTGGCTCATCAGTAATCTCCCGCCGAGTCTATCTTGAGTGTCCTATCCCAATTCCAGTTGAAAACTGACCAAGTCACGTATCCAATTCCGATTTAATTCTCAGTTACTTGTGACTAGTAGTGGTGTGGAATAGATGATATTCAGTTGGATTGATTATCCTTTAGACACACAGATCTTCCATGCGATGGATCCGGAGTTCAAAGCCCGGATGGGGTATTCGAATGTGTACCACTGATGAGCTCTGATGAGAGCAAAACCGGAGTCCACTAAGCGAACATTTCGCCGGATGAACGGAGGATTGTGCGCAGAGCTGGAGATAAACGCACGCATTGTTGTGGTACCGTTTACCCCCAACTACTCCCTGCTAGCCACAAATAACTGTGAGTTAAGTCTGAAAAATGCTGGCAATACCTTGAAACTGAGATGATGAGGGGATATATTCCTGTTCAGTGTGCATGCTCTACTCTCATCACTCCATGTGCACTGGGTGTAGGGCTTCGTGTGAGACCGAGAATTGAAAAAATGCTTTACAAAATGCTATTTAATTCCACTAAATGAATTGATAGATCATTTTCTAGACGACAACAGCGTTAGAATTCTCTGATACTTTATGTCATAAGCCATTTCTAAATTGATTAGCTGAATCAGATTGAAACCGATTCGTGTACAAGCGGCAACCAATGGCAACTGAATTGCGTTGCTTTTGGTTGGAATCACCATTTCAAAAACGTTCTGAAAAACCAGAAAATCAATCGCCTCAGATCTTCATAACAGAGTAATAGTGAGTGGATAAGTTAATTACCGTCATTGTAAAGTACTCCCAGATTAGAAAGTGGCTCAAATAGTGTCATTTCAGAAAAAAATTTATTATCATTCCCACTAGACTGAATTCGAGTTTGTTCCTACGAACATATGGGTTTTTGGGGGCCAACAGTCATTGAGATATCGAGAAGAATGTGACTGGTATGTGGCGACACCAGTTATCCCAGACGGTTTCACTTACCATATAGGTGAGATAGGATATTTTGGGCAAACTTTGCGTGATCACATATTTGAATGTGACACTGGTCAGGATGAGGGTGAACGAGAGTCGCAACCGGAGTTCCGCTTTGTCCGGGGAGACCGCGAATGTGGCAAATGCCAAACCGGAGATCATGAACTGTGTCCAGCCGTGTGTGTGTGGAATGGAAAAAGAGAAGGTGGGTTTTCACATACCGAGTAGTGAAACTCAAATATGAATCAGTAAACCAAAATAAAGAAAAACTTTACTCGGTTTGTGATTCACTTACTTGGCAAAGAATATCCTATTCGAATAATAATGGTTGCGGCCTACAGTTGAGTGATGCGTTTGTCATGCGGCCGAATCGATTGACTGATGCTGCCTGCTACCACACACGCACGCGCTCACGCCATGCAGTCTATTACAATATCGATCGGCTCCAACCAATCAGGTGTCCGTTCTGAACTGTCCACGCTGATTGGTTCGTTGACTGTTTAAACGCCTGCTTGACCGCATTCGAACGTCGTATGATCCATGGATGGAAGGATCTACGGATGTTAGAGTGCCCTCCGGCGTCGTGACGAACTGCTTGCTCACTGGCCTTTGAACCAGCTACGTTTACGTTTACGTACAGGAAATTAAAAAGAAGACTAATAAATTCACCATTCACGTATTTTGTTGCTTCCACAGGACAAAACAATAATGATCAACTGGCGAATCCGGAAAAATTACGTTCCCTTTCAAAACATTTTTAAGCCACCGGAATCAAATCGCCCGAGCCTCAATTCCCAAAAATTAGCTGTACAGGGTGCCATTTTACCCCTTATCTTTGTTTCTTAGCCTTTTATGCCTGTTTCCGATCCATCAAGTAGACTGATGGCGGTAGTTTTGACTCACACTATCCCGAAAACTCTCTTCAGTTCGTTGTCTTACAACTTACGGAATCGTTTTCTTCACAAAACGCATTTTGTGAACCCTTCAAAATGTGTTGAATGTATGGTTCCCCATGTTGAGATTGTGAACAATTCAGAAGCCTTGGTAAGATTAGAACCCACGCGTGGATAGGCCTACGCTTTTGTACAGCGCACGCTGAGCTAGGAGGCCACACCCATTCGAATTACCCCTTCAACTTACAGAGCTGTTGGGACAAAGATCAACACCATTCGTCTCACGATAAGCCCGGCAGCACACTTGCTAATTCTGTGAGCAAAATGAAACAACACATTCGACCCAAATTAGGGCCATAGCGGATCAATACTAATCTCGCGGAGATAAATCAACAATATTGCTAAGTACGGCAATATTCACTATTCTTCCGTCTGGTCCGTAGCCTATGGCCGGTAGAACATTGCTCACTGCGTACATTCGTTTTCTTGCATTCATCAATGTTATTTTCAGTCACATATAAGCAGCACAGTAAAACTTGTATACTGACTCGTGACTTGTGATTTGTGCTCAACGCCATTAAAATCCCGTGCTGCTGAAGCCGTGTCTTCTCTCCCGCGTGTTTTTGGGAGGTTTGAGAGATCGATAACCGACCGTGCATCCTGTGTTTCGCCTAAGTAGCTTCTGCTCCTAGAACTATCATCCGCTCACGGACTTAGTGTTAGTCCGCTGTTCTCGTGTTCCCGTGTGCTATACCTGTGCTATATCTCATGTTCTTTGAACTTGTGGTGTTCTCCTGTGATATAGTACTGCGCGACTTAATAGTAGGCAACGGATATAAGCGGAGCAGAACATGACAATTTGGCGACATAACAAGAGGCATATGGCATCCACCATGTAGCGTGTCAGCTGACTGCCCCGGTAGGTTTTCCTTAGAATTCACCGGTGTTCACCGAATGACCATCCTAGGTAAGTTTAATTGTGCAAATTATTTTTTTGTAGAGTGAATTTTTTTATGTTGCAGTTTTGAATTCGTGAGACTCATACTCTGATTCTCTTGAGACGTGCCAGCCTTTTATGCATGAACGACGCACCACACAGACGAAGAATGTCAGTTACATCCGGTCTATACCATTTTAAGTTAGATTTGAGAAACTATAATTTTCATTTGCGAAACCGTCATTTGGCTGAACCGTTCTCCTACTCGATCTCAGCATGTAAACAATTTTGGTATACAGGAGACATGGATTTCAGCTATTCTCTCTTTGCAATTGTCGTTGCCTTCCCTCCATCAGGTGTAATCTAACAGATCATGTGTCATGCCTGCCTTGCCCTCACTGGCTTTGTGCACCCCGGATAGTTTCTCTGATTTATAGTACAAAAGAAGATCTGTGTAGCAAACAGGACATCCTATACAGTTGATCAATGTGGTTCGTTTTACCCCAGAGCTTATGCCTACAACATGATTGTTTTGATCGAACTTTCACATGACTGATTGTGCACACGCACCTGAGGAGATTACGCGAATCACAGGTGAATCACAGCCGAATACACACCCAAGTGTGTAATACGACAAGTTACGTTGACTTGACAACGCATGGAGTGGAACTTCACAGTGCATGTCACTACTCCATTTTACCCACTACCCCCAGCCCAGTGGTTTTCGATGGGCTGTAAACTTACGCGGAATACTATGGTCGCATGAAAATAGTGATGCACAGCGTGGTTGGGGTGGATGGCATCCGTTTATCATATCCCCTAGTATGTAACTAGATCGGAATCAAGGGGTAAATCAGTTTCCAACAAGTCCTTCTACTCTATTCATCGGAATAACGGTTTTCAGCGTAACACCGACCTAAATCCAGAAGCATCCGTTTTTTGTTGGAAACTTCTGAATCATCTCATCTTATTTTATTTATTCCAATATATAATTGTATCGATTAACGCGGTGAATAAACGACAGAATGCATTCAATTGTGCTACTGGGAGAGAATGTGCCATTATGTGCGAGCAGACCAGGACTCGTGGACATGGACTTACGCTGCTGAAGCTTTCGTCCGTAGGATTACCTCTTCGGTTCCGGCTATCGCGAAGGGTAACCAACCTTTGGAACTCCCTTCCAGCTGACGTGGTGGAAGAGGTCAATGATAAGATGTTCAAGAGGAAGCTCGACAGCGTCCTGCGAACAATGTGGTATGCAGATCTATCATGAATGAGATCTTCGAGTCTGTGGTGATGAGGCTCATACGGGAAATTACCCTCTGCCTCTAATTGAAGAACATTGAACATTGAACAATTCACTAATCACCTGT